CATTTGATGCTGCACATCAAGTGTTTTTGGATCTGAATATGATTGCTAATTAAACTATGCACTTCACTAGTGGAAAAATGTAAGTAGAAAATACAATTTTTGTGGTGTTAAAAAAATGCTTTGAATGACTTGGAATTTTTACTTATTTAGATTAACGCGACAACATGGTCCCTATCATGTTCTTGTTTTAAAAAGAGCTGTGTAATGATTCTTAAGAATTTCTCCTTTTATGTTCCACAGACGTAGGCCAAGTCATAGAAGTTTAGAACAATATGAGGGTGAGAAAATTGACGATCCCTTTAAATCAATTATTTCTGGTCCACTCATAACAGACCGGTCCTCGAAAACCAGTAGATGGCGCTGTTGATTAAACTTCAGTATTTAAACCGTAACGAAGCAAATGCAGACTACATTTCCATATACACATTTCTCCGCAAGTATAAAAATCTTTTGATTTCAGTACACATTTGCTAATTAAAAACCGTCATCTGCAATGTATCCAATAAGAACTGAGAGAGAAGAATAAGATTAAAAAAAGGGAAGTGTGCTGGATGCATGTCAAATATGACTGGACATTTGTGCGGTCAAAACAAAGAACCACTTATTTATTAATTAACCTAGAGTATCATAGCATTCATTACAGCAGTAAAACTATTTCTGATAAATAGTACAGATTTAAAAAAGACAGTTTCTTGCACTTGTGCGCCCTCTGGTGTGAGATTAGATTAAAGCAGTGCGTGTTTGAGAACAGTGTTGACCATGTCTTTTTTACTTGAAGGGTGTTTTAGCAAAGTCTTTAAGCTTGTAAATCAGTGTCCTTCCTGTATGTTAATTTACAGTAAACAAAGACTTATAAGAAAATAACAAAGGGGAGTTTTGTTAGAGTACATGTAATCATTGGGAGAATTTCACTGAAAGAGGAAGTGCCTTATTACTTGCCACATAACGTGCAGTTGTTTTATTTTTGGCACTGAAAATGCACTGAGTGATGTCAAGATCGACTCATCCTCTTAAGTGTTTTTCTGTAAATTCCTTTGCTTGAGTGATGAAGTTCTGTGTCATTTTCTTCTTCTCCTTCAGCCGACCCTCCTCCTCTCTCCCGCCTCGGTCTCTGTTAAACAGAATGCTGCTACAGTACTTCGTTGGCAGTGCCAACAGCTGAGGTCTGCTTCCTGAGTTTCCCTCCAGCCTGAGAGAGTTACAGGAACAGAAAGGAAGTGTGTGTTTGTGTGAAGGCAAGGGACAGTGTGTAATGTACGTTTGTTAGAGAGAGCACAAGAAAAGAGAGAGAGAGAGAGAGACTAAGGAATGCTGTGATGTCACCAGTTAAGTCACACACAAAGGCAAGAAGGACACACAAGCACTCACTCTCCCTCTTAGTAAAGTCTGCCGTGGAGCGTTCGCACCCAGCTGTGAGTACATTTTCCTTCACACAGGCTTTTTTCCCCTTCTCTTTCCAACTGTCTTTCTGTTTGCCGCCATATCTAGACGTTAACTGCAGTCTGTTAAATGTGTAGGCAGGCAGGCATACTTTTTTTTCTCGTCTCAGTCACAATTGCTGTAGTTGCGGTACTTTTTTGGGTATGATGTGATCTCAGGCTTTTTTAGTTGTAGACGCCCGTCGCTTCTCCTAAAGAGGTGACAGCATGCAAGCTCAGTTGTGGCCAAAATAAGACAATTTTAAAATAGAGCATGTCTTGTGAAAGGAGGGGGGATCTGCTGATGACAGAAGCGAACCCCCGTTCCTGAGGAATCCCCTAAGTCAGGCCTAAAAAGAGCTGGGAGACCATGTGTTTGAGTAAAAATATGCTCTTTAGCAGAGGTTTCTTAACTTTTTGACCCCCAAATATATTATATATATATATAATATTAGCCCCTTACTAAAATACTAAGCCTGCTGCGTATTTTAATGTGTAAAAAAACGGTTTATACTCTGTGAGGGGGAAAAAAGTGTGGTATTATAAAGACAGCATATGTAATAAAATAATCACATTTTATAATGTAATTATACTAAAGTATTTAAAATATTCTTTATTATTTGAAATCTTTGTACTAAGTTGTCAGTGTTACTTTATATATATATATATATATATATATATATATATATATATATATATATGTATGTATGTGACCCTATACCACAAAACCAGTCATAAGTTGCTGGGGTATATTTGTAGCAATAGCCGACAATACATTGTATGGGTTAAAATTATAGATTTTTATTTTATGCCAAAAATCATTAGGATATTAAGTAAAGATCATGCTCCATGAAGATATTTTGTAAATTTCCTACCATAAATATATCAAAACTTAATTTTTGATTAGTAATATGCATTGCTAAGAACTTGGACAACTTTAAAGGTGATGTTCTCAATATTTAGATTTTTTTTTGCACCCTCAGATTCCAGATTTTCAAATAGTTGTATCTCTGCCAAATATTGTCCTATCCTAACAAACCATGCATCAATGGAAAGCTTATTTATTCAGCTTTTTGATTATGTATAAATCTCAAACTTTAAAAAAAATTACCCTTATGACTGGTTTTGTGGTCCAGGGTAACATATATGACAACCCTAAAAAAAGCTTATTTTTGTAAATAAATGATCATTAAAATTTTCTGATTCACCCAGATTGAAAACCCTGAAAGCAGTTTAAAAGCTTAACAAATAAACGAAAATATTTTTTTACTTCTCATTTCACATGACACACAAAATGTCTGAAGCTGCACAGGAAGAGAAAGAGCAAACAAACCATTAAAGAGATCAGATTGCTTCCAGATGTTGTAATCTGTCATTTCTTCTGACAGCGTGTCCCGTTTATGGCTGCTAATTAGTGATGAGAGCTTGTGTGTGGTGAACGGACCGAGCTGGGCTTCATCATCTTTACCACCATCTTCCTCGTTCTGAAGGACTGTTGCTGAATCTCAGGATATAATCAGGTGAACCACACACACGGCCATGCTGCAGCAGATCTTGAACGACATGTACATCGACCCGGATGTGCTGGACGGTCTGAACGACGAGCAGAAGAAGACGCTCTTCCTGAAGATGCGTGAGGAGCAGGTGCGACGCTGGAAGGAGCGAGAGGAGAAGCTGGAGAGGGAACCGCTCAAACCCAAACCAAAGACAGGTGGGCACTGGGTTTATATCGCACCATTTAAATCTAAACCAGGTATGTAATGTGATCTATGCATCTTATTGAAGTGAGTTCTTTAAGAAGTTTTAATACAGTAGAATACATTTTTACAATTTTATGTATTTAATTTAAACAGTGCTACAATATTTCCTCTGTATATTTACTCCTGGATGAGACCATTTTTTTCATCATTTAGCAAGATTATTATTATTTTTGACCATCAGAAAATCCTCCTAGCACAGCACGGTAAAATCCTGACCATCAGGTTTATTTTTTATATTGTATTATATTATTATTATTATTATTATTATTATTTTTATTATTATTTATAGTTGGCTTTTAGTTGTATTTTGTTCAGTTGCAATTGTAGTGTATTCATAATTTTAATAATATTAATAACATTATTATTATTATTCCCTTTTTCCATACAATTATTATTATTATTATTTTATATATATATATATATATATATATTTTAATAAATACATTTAAAATAAAATTTATTTTATTTTTATTTTTTTATTATTAAAATGTTTTTTTTTACCGTTGACCAACATGCATTTTTAATTGTATGGGGAAAAACAGCATTGACATTTTGTTCCGCATAAAAAAAAAAGTAATGAGTTTAAATTGACAAGGTGGTGGGTAGATCAGTAAAACCCCTTATAAAGTTACAAAACAAATTTTAAGCAAATCATAGATTTAGACATGATCCTTTTTCGACTGACTATGGCAATTCTGCAAGAGACATGCAGTTGACTTTTTAAAAGGACAGTCACCCTGAAGTTAAAGTTCTTTTGCACCATGGTCATAATGCAACTCACCAGGATCTGTCTAGATTAAAGATCTACAACATCTTGAGGTTTGAATGTGGGACATTTGAATTACTAATGCAAATCTTTCATCAGTGCGTTTACCATTCCCACATCTGTAAGCCACAGAAAACCGCTCTGGCTTTTTATTGCTGGCTTTAAATGACTTAATTTAGTCAGAATCTTAATGTGGCACATGACTCAGGACCGAATAGCTGAGCTGAAAGCACCACTGTGGTACTGCAGACTTCACGGAAAAACATCTTCAGTATAGGTTCACAGACGTGGACACAGATGTTTGGACAACAGAAAGTGCTCTGAAACACGAGTAATTATATTTGAGAGCTACTGTGATTGATGCTGCCACTGGGAACATCTACGTCACTGACAAGACACAAGATCAGGCAAGTTTAAGAAGGTGTCCAGGCGTCAATAGACAATTGTCATGACCGATATTATCAGAATCTCATATTAGTTAAAGGATCTCCTCAGTGTGACACTGAAACACCGTAAACAAGAACTACGTACAACATGAGGGTTTTCCCCTCAATTTCACTACTTTTTAACACTGAAGGTCACAGACATCACAGAGACGAGACTTCCGTGAGGAGGACAGTTGGTAAGAGGGAGGAGTAAACCGCTGAGATATGAGAAGAATACCTCTGAGAGATAGAGGGTATCTGTAAAACCGCAAAAGAGACAGAGAGCTGCGAAAAAGCAAACAAAAGAATGAAAAATGAAACTTTACGTTGCTTAGCCAAAGTTACACCCGTTTAAACTGGTTAGACGTACAGAGGGCTTATGGAATCTGGCATATCGGCTTTGTTACTGGAAGAGCCAGAACTTTGACAGATCATCTTAAAAAGATTAGTCAATGAAGTAAAAATATTGCAATGCAATGAAAGTTTTAAGTGTCCAGAAACTTTTTTTGTGCCACTGTAGCCATTCCCTTTGGGTTTATAAGGAAGTTCAATGCAATAATTTAGGTTTACGTGTGTAACTCCAAGAGGAAGTCGTCTTTGCTCAATAACAAAGCAGTTATTATCAGGTCCCTGAGTTTCAGACCTCAGAGGAGAACAGCAAGTCCTTTATCTCTTTGAGACAACAGCAGCTGTTCTTGCAGGTCAATGGTTTCCACAAGACATACTGTTCACAGAGTGCTGTATCCAAGCATGTTAACAGAAGGTTGAGTGGAAGGAAAAAGTGTGAAAGAAAAAGATCCACAACCAACCGAGAAAACCGCAGCCTTATGAGGATTGTTAAGCAAAATCGATTTAAGAATTTGAGTGAACTTCACAAGGAATGGACTGAGGCTGGGGTCAAGGCATCAAGAGCCACCACACACAGACGTGTCAAGGAATTTGGCTACAGTTGTCGTATTCCTCTTGTTAAGCCACTCCTGAACCACAGACAACATCAGAGGAGTCTTGCCTGGACTAAGGAGAGGAAGAACTGGACTGTTGCCCAGTGGTCCAAAGTCCTCTCTTTGATTACGGCACACATTCACCATGGCATCGTTTTGATAAGCTTCTGCAATGTCACAAAATGTATTCCCATCCAGAGTTGCATTAATTTTTTCACCAAGATCTTGTATTGGTGATGAGAGAGTCGGACCGCTGCGCAAAGTCTTCTCCAGCACATCCCAAAGATTCTCAATGGGGTTAAGTTCTGGACTCTGTGGTGGCCAATACATGTGTGAAAATGAGGTCTCATGCTCCATGAACCACTCTTTCACAATTTGAGCCCGATGAATCCTTGCATTGTCACCTTGGAATATGCCCGTGCCATCAGGGAAGAAAAAAAACATTGATGGAATAACCTGGTCATTCAGTATATTCTGGTTATCAGCTGACCTCATTCTTTGGGCACATAACGTTGCTGAACCTAGACCTGACCAACTTTCTGCAGCAACCCCAGATCATAGCACTGCCCCCACAGGCTTGTACGGTAGGCACTAGGCCGGATGGGTGCATCACTTCATCCACCTCTGATCTTGTTTAAGAAATGAGAAACTACTCACTGCATCAGTTAGGGTTAAATAACTTGTTGCCAGCTGAAACATAATCATCCATGCAGTAATTATCCAATGGGAGGCTCTTACCTATTTGCTTAGTTAAATCCAGGTGGTGATGTTTTTGGGACGAGCAGTGTATAATTTAAATATAATTTACACTACTGTTCAGATGTTTGGGATCAATAAGGTATTTATGTACTTGTATGCTCACCAAGAGTAAATTTGTTTATCAAAAGTACAGTAACAGTAATCAGTAAAATAGATAAAACTCATATATTTGTAATATATTTTTAAATGTAATTTATTCCTGTGATAGCAAACCTTAATTTTCAGTGTTCATTATCACATGATCCTTCAGAAATAATTCTAATATGCTGATTTGGGAAACATTGCATATGATTTATTTTTCAGGAAAGTTGAAAAGAACTGTGTTAATTATAACCGAAATATTTTGCAACTTTATATATGTCTTTGTCACTTTTAATTAATTTAATGCATCCCTCCTGAAGAAAATGTTTTTTTTCCTGGCCTGGTAGTGCAAATAAATGTATGTAATTTAACCATTTTTATGTTTTAATTTCTCTTATTTTTTAGGGTGTATAAACATATCAGAATAAAACTAATGAGCACATCTGTAATGAATATCTGAAATAAATGAAGAAAACGTGTTTGACTGTGAAGGGTGTATATTTGTGTGTTGTGTTTTCACATGTCTTGTCATGTATTTCAGCAACCAGCCCAGCACTTTGAAGAGCAACTTGATAAACCGAACATCAGCAGAACCTGTACGATCAGGGCGAGAAAACCTTCCTCCTAAAGCACATTCAAGAGTTCAGCTCAACTTTAAGGTGTGTTTCTCACGTGCGTGTTTTTGTTTACTTCCACATTTGCTCAACTCTCAAATCGGTGCCGCTGTGTATTCATGCAGCTGTGTGTGTAGGTGACCTTCCTGTTGCCGCCATTAATCTCGGACACAGCCGAGGGGCAGCGAGACGGACTTTCTCCACAGGGAGAGGCATCGTTCAACAGCCAAATAAATCACAACCTCCATCTCTCCCTCTTTTTGCTCCTTCCTTTCCCCTTTCCTCCTTTTTTCATTCCCTTCTCCTCCAGTATTCCTTTTCATCCTTTCAACAAAAAAAACTCCCACACCCAACCACCCACCCACCCCTCCATCTCTCAGGCACAACAACTCTTTCATTGCGCAGCTCTGTATGGCTCCATCTCTCTGCTCATGTATCAATATGTTTGTCTGTGTGTGGCCAGTTGGCGTCAGTGCAATTTTTGAACTGACAGACAGTCCAACATATGCGGTAACACCGTGTCCTTAACAGGAATGATGCGACAATTTTCCAACCATGTGAAAAGCAATTTGAAGCAGTGTGAGGTGATGAAAACGTATTTGACTTGATATCTAATGCGCCGTTATGAAAAGCAGGATTTCAAACCAATGAGATTTCAGAGTGGGTGGGGCCACCCGTCACAATGCCGTAGAAATAGGTGGACTTGATCAACAGAATTTCGTGTAGGTTTGGACACAAGTGCTGTGATGTCATCTTTAATTAATGTGTGTGAGTTTTGCTGTGTCTTGGTCAGGATCGCGGAAACAAAGTATTTTAAAATGGTCTGTCAAAGGTTTTCACTCTATATGTGGAGATCTCACCACCTTCTCTTTCCTGTTATACTAAGGTAGGTGGGTGGGTGGGTTGGGGGCTCACACTTGGGTTTCCATGGCAACACCGTGCACTGCAAACGCACTCCTGGGAGGAGATGTGCTGGCCAGTATCACCACGCTATGATCCTCTACTTGCTAAACAAACATCTGTCCCTGTACATCGGCACATGTGGCTCATGGTTGCCAATTAGTGAAGAGTCGCACAAGAGTCACAAAAAACATCTGAACGCCTTCAGATTTTTAACTGATCATAAAGTAGATGGGCTAATATGATTATTGCATCAGCTTTTATAATGATAAAATGATATAATGTGTGGAAGAGTTTTGCTCAGTCTGAAGTCTTTGTTTTCACAGGACAACAGTGACAAAGAGTTAAGGACTCTGGCGCCTCCACAGGTGTGTTTTGGTATTGCAGCAGATATGATGTTCAACAATGAGTGAGATGTTTTGTCACAGCACAATACTTTAAAATGAGTGCAGTCTATTTTGTAAATGTCTTCTCATAATATTCTGCAGATGCCTGTAAATGAAGAAAAGCCATCAGCAACTTTAGAAAATGTAAGTACCATGATTAATATGAGACCCTGGACCACAAAACCAGTCTTAAGTCGCTGGGGTATATTTGTAGCAATAGCCAAAAATACATTGTATGGGTCAAAATTATTGATTTTTATTTTATGCCAAAAATCATTAGGATATTAAATAAAGATCATGTTCCATGAAGATATTTTGTAAATTTCCTACTGTAAATATATTAAAACTTAATTTTTGATTAATAATATGCATTGCTAAGAACTTCATTTGGACAACTTTAAAGGCGATTTTCTCAATATTTAGATTTTTTTTGCACCCTCAGATTCCAGATTTTCAAATAGTTGTATCTCAGCCAAATATTGTTGTATCATAACAAACCATACAACAATGGAAAGCTTATTTATTCAGCTTTCAGATTATGTATAAATCTCAATTTCGAAAAATGTATCCTTATGACTGGTTTTGTGGTCCAGGGGTCACATATGTGTATTAGAACAAGTATAGTTTAGTAGAGCTGTTTTCATACCTTTTTTTCATAAATATATCGGTGATGAAAATAACATTGGACAATTTTGAAAATAAGGCATTCCAGTAACTGACTAATAACCTTTTCATTGCCATTAAAGTGAAATAATTGAACCTAAACATAGGAGCCTGATAAAATAATAATTTAAAAATCTTAGACTGACTTAGAGGTTTTGCATCTGAAGTATCTCTCTCTCTCTCTCTCTCTCTCTCTCTTGTTTTTTTTATCACCTTACAATAAATTGTAATTATTGTAAATCTATATGAATTTATCAATTTAAACTTGTATATTTGTTTTTACCGCCTTACAGTATTTCATACAATAAATAGCTCTGTTGCACTAAGATGTTTCTTTTGAGTTCCAGACAATATAATGCATATATTGTTACATTATAATGCATGAAACTTGTGTAATCTAATGTTACCAAAAAAAAATTCCTCTTGGATTTAAGCAGGTATAGAAGTTTTTGGTACAGGGAATTGAAACTCTTCACAATTCCAAGTCATTTTTCACAACCACAGCCCCGTCAGACTCATGTGATATGCTATATGACCACAGAGATCTTATTTAGGCCACAGGCCGCTGGAAAGTCCCGCTATCTAACAGCCTCTGTTCATTGACATTACTGCCATTTACCACAGAGCGGATCAGCATATTATGAATTCTCTGTCCTTTCTTTCTTTCTGTCTGCCTTTTTTTTCCTGGAAATACTAAAACTATTTTAATTTTAAAACCGTGAGTGTTTTTCTTAAATGAGGAAAAAATATTTATTCTGCACTCATGCACTAATATTAAGAAATTCTGAATATACTAATTTAATTTAGACATTATTTAATTGAATACATTTTATATTAATGATGACGATGATAATCTTAATAATAATGTAATTTGTGATGTTAAAAATGAATTCTTAAAAACCCTGTTAATATTGTAAATAAAAATGGGTCAGCATATATGTTTTCGACTCAATCTCGTCTACACTGACACCAACACATTCTAATTTGGTCGCGTCATCTGCTTGCGGTGTAAACATGGTGTCTGTGCAAAGGAATGTCCTCCCCAGAATGTCTGTGGTCTCTTCTGGCACTCTGCTCTGGGTTGGAGGGGGGCTGGAGGTCAGAGCAGCTGTCCTTGTGCTCTCATCTTGAGATCCTTTTACCCTCAGCTGTCGCTCTCTGCCACTCCGATCACACCTGTCTCAGACTCTTGACCCCACAACAGCTGAACACAACACACACTTTACACACAGTTTCAGTTGAGTGTGCAAGCATGAATCTAAAACTAGTTCTTTCCGAGTTGGTCTGCTTTGCAGCAAATCAGAACATGTCATGCAATTATTATTCATGAGCAACCTGATAATTAGTGTCCCTCCCAATTTTTGTATCATTCCCACACCCAGAGGAATAAAACTCATGATGTATATATGTAAGCCTGATTGATTGAGATATATAAAACATATTGTAGCTCGTCTGAAATGCTGAAGGACGGTATGGCGCATTGCTCTCAGTGTGTGGCCTGTGTGTCAGAGAGCATGAGGACAGTCAGGCTGTGTGTGCACTGCAGGAGGACCTGAGAGAGCCCAGGGGCTGATTTGGGTCCCTGAGTTCTTCAAGAGCAGATGGTTGATAAAGTTGATCAGGGAATTAAAGCGGGCGAGACGGCGCGCCTGTCAGTCACAGATGGATGGGATTGTGGGACTGTCCCCTGGGGTTTGTGCAGGGACCTCTCTTTCCCTCTTTTTTTTTTCCATTTCTCTCTCTTTCCATCACAGATTTATCCCTTAATATCCACAAGCCCCTGGGCAGGGCAAGTCCTTGCACATCACACGTTCTCTTCCATCTCGTGTGTGTGTGTGTGTAAACACTACACACAGTCTGTGCTTCTTACAGTCCAGGCTTGCAATATCTGTTATCTTTGGCAGCTCCAGATATATTTTGTTTTGTTTTTAATTTTATATTAGGCTATTTTGTTTCATATTTCATTTATAAGCTATTTTATGTTTTGTTTTTCAGCAAAATTGTATTTATTTATTATAAGCTGTTAGTAAGGCTACTATTGATTTTAGGTTATTTTATTGGCTGATCTATTTTATTTTAGACTTTCATTCTAAATGAAATTTGAGGTCATTTTTAGACTACTAAATTTAATTTTAAGCTATTTTATTCTTTGTTTAGGCTACTATATATTTTTAAAGCTATTATTTATGTTTTGTTTTTTTAGGCTACTGTATTTTATTGTAAGCTAATTTATTTTTAAGCTGCTTTATTGTAGGTTATTTTTAGGCTACAATATTTTAGTTTAGTCTAATTTAGGCCATTTCATTTTTTAGGCTGTTTATTTTAGTTTTCACTTAGGCTAATGTGTTTTATTTTAGGCAAAAAATAAAATCGAAAGCGTTATTGTTCAGAGCTTAATCTGTTATGGCCCAGGAGATCTGAAAAACTCACTGGATTATCAGCTTTGTCTTAGATATTCCTCCTAAAATTCCTTAGGACAAATATGAGACAGATGAGATGCTTGTTGACTTGATGTGAATATCATACACCAGGTAATTTGGTCTGGGAAGAATCTGATATTTGACTTTATGGGCAAATCTCTGCTCATGGTTTGTAACATTGCTGAGATCTTTTTAAACATTATAGGAGACATGTGAAATAGCTGTGGTCAGTTTCTCAGGAGACAAATCTGAGAAGCGTGAGATTTTAGCTGAAGTTCCCATTTGCTCTATATTTAATCTTGTATAGTCTACAAGAAATAATCAAGACATTAACAAGATATCATCTGTGGGTTTTTTCTTCCTTTCCCCTATGGGAGGTTTTAGGACAGTAACATAGTGCTCGGTTTAAAACCGAAGCTGGGTATACAGTCCAACTTGTACTTCTTTTATAAATGGTTTATTTGTTTCTATGGCAGGTATCCCATCAGCCTCAGGAGTCCAAAGAGGAGGCTGAGTCAGGACACTCAGAGGATGACTCAGCACTCTTGTCCTCAATTTGCTATCGGGCCCACTCGAGATCTTGCCTCCTGACACCCTCGACTCTCAGCAGACCTGGCTATACAGACAACGAGGACAGGACGACCAATCAGCTGCCTGACACCTCCAGACTCCGCCCCCAAGACACCCCCAAACCACAGATCAACAGAGGTGAGAGTCTGCTGTTTATGAATCCTTCCAGACTCCCAGTGTGTGTGTGTGTGTGTGTGTATATGTATATGCATATGTGTATATATATATATATATATATATATATATATATATATAATTCCTTAGTCAGGGAAAAATTTTGCTGATCTTTCCTTTGCTAATCTGAGCATGAATGATTTTATTTGACACTGGCATCACATTCACCAGAGTCTGCTGTTTATGAATCCTTCCAGACTCCCAGTGTGTGTGTGTGTGTGTGTGTGTGTGTATATGTATATGTATATGTATATGCATATGTGTATATATATATATATATATATGTATATGTGTGTGTATAATTCCTTAGTCAGGGAAAAATTTTGCTGATCTTTCCTTTGCTAATCTGAGCATGAATGATTTTATTTGACACTGGCATCACATTCACTGTAATGCTGGTTTCCATGACTTTTACAGTAAGACATTTGATTTCATTTTAATGCAGTTTGTGAGAGAGGTTTATAAGTGGCCATAAAAAAATCTGTTATTGCATTTAAGTGATTCGCATCAGAACCTCTCAAAAAGAAAAAATGTCAAGGTCACATTTCACCCCAAAATAAAACGGCAATGAATATATTATATTTTGCTGAAAGAATATAATGACAATAAAGCACATTTTGTTATTACCATAAGAATGATATTTTCATTAATGTAATATGAAAAAACAATTTATATAATATGAGAAGAATATTAATGTGCTATGTAGCCTTTAGTTATGCTTTTTAATAGAAATAAGTCTTATTTTATGGTAAATGAGAGTTATCATTCAAAATAATAAGAATAGTATAAGTGAAGTGTCAGGATGCATTACAGTAATCAGAATTAAGAGGAATTAATTGTCCTTCTAAAGGTTTATTTTCATACTAGGTCTCATTTTTTATGCAAAATATAATGTACTTTTTTATAAATTGTAGAGTATTATTGTGCTATATAGCCTCATAAAAACTCTTGTTTTACTGTAATGCAGTCTTTATTTCCTTACAATACAGGAAATGAGAATCACACACATTCCAGCGCTGCTTCCCAACTCTGGCCCTGGGCGACGCTCGGCCGGAGCTGATAAGTGACAGGGCCCCCAGCCTCCGCTCGGGCCCCCTCCCCACCTCCCCCTGGCAGCCGTGACCCCCCCGCGGCCTGGCTCAGCGCACAGACGTGCCGCTCCGGAATTCTGCCCTCTGCCCCACTTCTAACCCCCCCCCACCCTCTCATTCTCAGAGGTGGGGGCATTTAAAGAGATAGCGTGCTTTTGTGGCTCATCTGTTCTGTCTGCATAAGATGACTGTGAAATTGGAAACATCCTGTCGAATGCGTTCTCTCTTTCACAGACACGCCCGGCAGTTATTGACAGGGCAAACAGAGAGCGGTTTTCGTTGCGATCAGGTGCTTACAGGCATTGTCACAAGTGATTGCACGGTGAGGCCAGCGGGGGCAGTTTTGGCCGGCCTGGACAGAGTTTGGTTTCAGCTTTTTTTTTTATTTGACAGCTCTGTGAAAGCGTCTCAGGTTCGGAGAGGTTATGGGAGGATGGAAAACGGCAAACGCCGCCGAGCAATGAGGGAGAGGGGCGTAGTCGTTACGCTAGTGTCAGCTAACAGCGGGGAGCGTGTGTGTGTGTGTGTGTGAACAGAGTCACGGACAGGTGCGCAAACATACACACATGCGTGTGTTTGTTGGACACGGAACGGACTACCAGTGGGGCGTGGAAAATGCGGTGGAACAAACAGCTTTAGATCACGAGAGTGACTCTGTGAGTGTGTGTGTGTAAGAGCGCCATGCACGCATGTGTGTCCGCCTCAGTCGCTGGAGCCTATCCAGGGTTTCCGTGGCGACCACACAACACAGTGAGACAATCAGTGGCAGGCCCACGCAGTGCGGCGAGAGGACATTAACACAGGAACCACAGGTCAGGGGCCATGGTGGGAGGGAGAGAAAGAGAGAGAGGAAAGGAGGGAGGGCAGAAAGAAGAAGATGGGGCAGGAGAAGCATGTGACTTAAATAAGAAATGCATCAAACACATGTGGGTCATATTTTACCCCCCAAAAACCAAAAGGAAAAACAAATGTGTATATGTATGTATGTATATGTGTGTGTGTGTGTGTATTATTATCTAGATAATATATGAATTATTATTTTTATATTTTTGAAGAAAATTTTCTAGACCATCGAGATTTAATTTGCATACGTCATTACTACTACTATTATTATTATTATTAATATCGAACGTACATAATGTTTAAAAAATCGCAATGGTCCTAAAAGGTCTTGAAATGAATAAATAAATAAAAATAAATAATGTAACAAAAATATAAAATAATGATAAGAATCTAATGGAAAAATATATACATAATAATAATAATAATTATTATTATTATTAATATATATATTAATTACACATATATTATAACAGTACAATGTCTGTATATATATATATATATATATATATATATACAGTGGGTACGGAAAGTATTTATTTATTTATTTATTTATTTATTGTTATAATAAATAAACAATTAGAAATAAATCATATTTTTGAAGACATCATAAAACCATGTCTCCATTTGTGATCGGAGAAACGACAAACAACAAGTGTTACTCTACACTGCTCAAAACTCGCGTTTGAATCGTCAGTGGCAAATTCTTTAAATATGAAAATGTACTTACAGTCTGTGAGTCAGAACAGCCGGCATTGTAGTCTACTCTCCCAGGATCAGGAAACAGTCCTCCATAAAATGTGCTGCACACATCTGAATATTTGGGTTGAACTGTTCTGGAACAGTGTTGTAAATACAACTTAACCACTGATTTCTAGTCGTGTCCTCTTTTGGAAGGCCAAATAAAATGGTTTCGCTTTCGCAACGAAACACACAGCGTCTTCACATGGCGGCAGCGGTGGCAGCAACAATAAAGTTACGCCTTCTTTCTTTGCGTGAACATTCGAGCGCCGTTATGCAAATCTTCCCACACAGTGACGTAGACATGTGGGGGCGTGTTTAAACGAGGCATTTTAGGAGGGCGTGGACGAGTCTTAACTTTTATAAAGAATATCTCTTTGGGTTTGAGACTTTAGTCTTTGCAACTTTAGGGATCTTATCTATTCACGAACAGCTTGTAACACTCCAAAGAGAAAGGAAAACTTGAAATTGCATCATATGACCCCTTTAAGGGTTTTGTGATTCAGTACTGGGACATTTCCACTGACACAGCCTACATGTGGGTTCGTGTCTTTGACCAGGGTGTGTGAGTATGCGTGTGAGAGAATTTGCGAGGGGGTAAAATGTGTGTCATAGTTTGTGTGTGTAAAGGAGAAGGGGTATATGTGTTTGTGAGAGCGAGCGAAAGAGAGCGGACGCACTCACACATCTGTGTCCCCTGGGGACGTGGCTAAAAATAAGCAGCTCCTCAAGCCTTCTGGTGTCTGAGCAGCGTCTGTCTGCTCTCCGCCGCCATCCCTGCGGCCCTCCTCTCCTCATCTTCCATCCCTCCATCTCTCAATTACACACACGCACAGTATAACCGCACACATACACACAGTCTTACGCACCCATAACTGTGTACACAAACACACACACACACACACACACACCAACTACACCCAGCTGCGTCCCTGCTCTACTTCCTGCACAGACGACCTCCGGTCTGGCAGTCTGCAGCCCAGGAAAAAAGAGCCAGAGACACTGAAAAGGGACGGGGAAAAAAAGGATAGAAGAGAGTGCAAAGAGAAGCAGTGAAAAATTGAGTGAGGGAAAAAGGCAGAAGAGAAGTGTGAGAATGTTTTGAAGTTGTCACCTATAAAAACAGACCTTGAAGGTCATAAGTCCCTGTCTCATCGCACTCTCTCTCTCTCCATTTGCAGGTGATTTCCGAGTGGTCGCTGCCTCTAAACGGTCATTTTCTGTGGATGTGGGGTCTGAGGTAGTTGAGGAGAGCTGTTTGGGACGAGGACGGGTTGCTCAGCTCATGAAAACCTTCAGTGTGTCCAGTGAGTCTCCACCCTCCCAAACGCCGCCCCATGGCAACAAACCTCCAATCCCGGAAAAGCCTACCCACTTGAAGCTCCGCCCCTCACCCTCTCTCAGGTAAACAAGGGACCAACCCCAAGGGACACAAGCCAGGGGTCTTCTTCAGTGGCTACATTTGAAGGGTGTGGGTGCTTAGACTCTCTCAGGAACTTGAATGTTTTGTTACCAAAGTGACGTAAAATAATGTTGTTGTTTTTTTTTAATATTAATGTTTTTCTTTATTTTTGTTTTTTTTACATGTAATGAGTGGTTTATAAAACTGTTCAGCAGGAATGAAACATCAGTCATATAGCTACATAGCTCAAACTTTCGGCAGTAGTGTTGACCTGGCTGTATCAATAAACTGCACTTAGATGCATGTTTACAAGTGCGTTTCTGTCTTAAAGGGTCACATGAAATCTTAATCACCAGTATAAGACTGAGTAAACTCCAAACAAAACCAAATCATACTAAACCAAAGTTAGTCATCCCATTAGTCTGTTTTATGCATTTTGCTTCCTTGCATCATGAAGGCTGGAGCATGTATGAAGGTATAAGTGATCAAACTATGTTTTTGCTTTTTTGCAATATCTATAGGGCAGGGTGGCCAATATTATGCCCATATTTACTGTAAATTACAATTTCTATATAGCAATTAAGATGTATAGAAAGTGGCTGGATTGAATTGCTCAAACATTTTATACAGTATTTACTCGATTCACAAAAAATATCAGAAAATTCACTGGCAAAGTTACATTTTGGAACTGACACTACATGTAATGACCAACTGTGCCAAATATCTGATATGTTGGTCTATAAGTGCTGGTTTTCTCATAGCCATACCTTTACTTTGAGGTTGATGGTCTTATTGTATTCAAATTTTCCATTTTTGGTAATCAGGTCAGTAGGGCAACGGTCACTTTCATGTATTTTGTTTTCTCACGGTCACATTTGCTTGCACTTAATGCAGTTTTTTTACGTGTTGTGATCTGGAAGAGTTTATATAATTACTCTGTATAAGGCTTGAATGTCCTGTCCACACATTCAGGATAAGTGTGGGATATTGCCTCTGTAATAAAATGATCAAACCTCCTTCAGCTTCTGGTTACAATTTTATCCTCAGTGGCTTGACAGGCTTCAGGCTGTGTTTATGTTCAACATGTGCTTATGACAAGCATTTACTGGAGTCATCTGAGGTCAAGTCATGCAGCCAAGAACATTTCATATTCTCTTCACTGCACATCTAATCAGAATATATAATGGTTTTTGCGCAATAAATTACTGTGAATCATGCATGGAAGAGCTGACAGGCTTGTATAGATTGTAAATACTGCACACATCAAAAGCCTTTTAGCTGCCTAGTCTGGCTATAGAGTGAGCTCTTCTCTTGGATGCCCCCTGCTTGTTGATCACAATAAAACAGAGAGAAAGTTGTAAAAATAAGTGAGGGTATCAAGTCAGATGAAAGTACACAATTACACTTCATGTTTATAATAAATTAATTGTAAGAGAGTCGTTAAAACACTTACATAACACTACTGTACTTGTTATCACTAAAACTTACACTAGGACTTACTATTTGAGCTTTCATTCAGTCTGCTGGCTGCCAAATGCCTCTGCCTCTAGCTTTAAAGGGGTGGTTCACTGTTTTTTTTTCAAGGCTTGATTGTGTTTATGGGGTGCAGTCTAACGTGTTAATGCTTAGTTTTTTATTTTTTTAAAATGCATTATTTTTCACATAATTTACCTTTATTCCACACCGCTCTTTCCCTTCTCTGAGAAACGCGCTGACCATTTCCTGCATTTATGAAGCCCCTCCCTCAGAAATAGGTGATGGGCTCTGATTGGTTTTTTTAAAATGCATTATTTTTCACATAATTTACCTTTATTCCACACCGCTCTTTCCCTTCTCTGAGAAACGCGCTGACCATTTCCTGCATTTATGAAGCCCCTCCCTCAGAAATAGGTGATGGGCTCTGATTGGTTAGCTAGCCCATTGTGTTGTGATTGGCTAAACCGCTTCTAGTGCGCATCTAAACGCCCCGCCCCTCACCTCAGCGGCATGTGCTCCAGTTGTATTGTAAACAACATCGTCGTTAATATCGCTTAACAGTTTGAGCCCGATTGAGAAGCAGAGGATATTATTGAAGAGGATCGTGCAGAACCTGTGCAAGCACGGCTTTTAATGGTAGGCCTATGTTTTTTGTTTGTTGTTGTATCGTACTTTTAGATATGTTGTTATTTGTAAATGCTACTGCTTATGTTAGCTTTTAATATAAGGTTTTATCCTGATTAAAGCCTTAATACAGTACGGCAACTGCACGCGCATCCATTTTTAATGCTTCTCATAGCTATGTGAAAATAAGTGTATAAATGGAACAGTTCATTGTTGGAGCTGAGCTGAATGAGAGAGAGATGCAGAGCATGTGTAGAGCAGGGGAATGCGAGGAACAGTATTGAGAATCGCTGCTTTATTAGAACATTGATTTTAAAACTTGTGAATCCATTAGAATCGTTTGAAGACAGAATCACGATTCATATATGAATAGATTTTTACGTGCACCTCTAGTTTTCTCTTCCTCTTCTCTAAAGTAGCGCAGCATGGCCTCGCCCCCTTTGCTGCCTTTTCCAGAGGGCGGGGTTTATCTGGTTTTGTTACATCACGAACCCGGGAAGTAACTTGTTGTAGTCCCTACCAGCCGTTTTTGTAGGCATTAAACTGCCAGAATTTTAAAAGACGATATCTCCGTTTGCATTGAACTTTCAGCTTCGTAGCTTTGCAGATATTGTTTATGCTCAAACAGCAACATTACACACTAATGTTAAAAAAGTGAAATCGCAATCAACCACCCCTTTAAAGTTTTTGTTTTAAGCACTTTGTTGCTTTTCCATATCATTGGCATACAAAACAAAACTCTTGAAATATAATGATTATGTCCGAAAATGTGAGGGGACACGTCCCCAAATTACAATAATGCTACTCCCCAGAGTAAAAAGTGTTTTAAGCACAAGTGTTTGTAGATGTTACTGTGAGTTACACAAGATACATTTTTTCTAAGTGTGTTACATCATCTAGATGTTTAAATGCATCATAGGCCCTGTGTGATCACACACACCAGCTCACTAACCAATCAAAAGATGTGGGCAAATGGAAGTTGGCGCCCAGTCCTGCAACAGTGGATGCAACAATAGCATCGGCTGTTCTCCTATGCACAGAGACGTCGGTGAGTTGTTTTCAGGCAAGTGCGGGAGGCCCCTGGCAAACAGAACCCCCCCGCAAAGCCTGGCCACTGCCGACAGGGCCCTCCGATGAGCAATAAAAAAGGGGCCGTTGTTGCCGCTGCGGTGGAGGGAAGATGAGACCGACGCTTCTGTTTTTCTCTCCCTGCATCTACCTCCTAATGCCCACAGAATGAAAAAGAAGAAAGAAAGAGAGGAAAGGAAGCAAAGTGTGGCATTCTGGGGCGTTACACCCCCCACCCCTTCTACCCCAGAGGAGCTATGTTGAGGAGAAGAGAGGGGGCCTGGGCCATGTGATAGGGAGAGCATGCGGGCACGGTTCGGCCCCCAGGCAGAGGGAACGAGGTCTGCTGCATGATTAATCTGGCTGAGGGCAGGAGGACCGCCACAGGCCTGCCGCATTAACTCTCTGCTCTCCCGCTACACACACACACGCACAAACAAAAAACACACACCCACAGAAAATCTGGGTTGATGGCCAGTACGTGAGCCAGTGTGTCCACCTGCAGCAGAGGCAGGGTTAGTTTGTTTGCAAAGTGGAGCGAGCCTTTGTTTTTGCCACAGGCTCAGTCTCGCCTCTGTCACATGAGAGGCTGCACGCGGGAAGTCACAGGGATGTTTGTCTATTGGCATGCTGCTTGGACATGGTCACTGGATGTTAAACTTGTGCCTCGGAGCAGATAAGAACATCCCAAAAAGCCTATTAAGGCTGTCATAGTATTCAGTAATTTGATTTTTGGTGGTAATTTTTTATTTGTTCTCAATTTTTCTCTCAATGGCTTGTATCTTATACTACTTTTCATGCAACTATGTTCTGTGCTGAACAAGTTTCATCACATATAAACTAATATTTATGATACTCCACAGGTTGGTCTGCTGGTTAATTGTGGTCAGACTAGTTTGAAGTTTGTACATGCAGCAGTGGAGCTCTTCGGTCATTTGCTGAGACTCTGGCCAGCTCCAGGCCCAGGCAGACAGTGGGTTAAACTCCTGCAGTCTGCGCCGCATTAACTGGAAAGGAATGAAGTGTCAAGCGTGTTCTCACCGCAGCGAAATGGTCAAAACCCTGCCCCCCCCACAGTCAACCACCCCCCAACCCCCAGCAACCTCCCACACCCGTGACCAAATTATTTCCTAGCCTCCCGAGATTCGCCTCACCAGACAAAAATCTGCAGCTCAGCCCTGATTCAGTACACAAACACGCAGCCTCCCGAACAGTATTGAGAATCGCTGCTTTATTAGAACATTGATTTTAAAACTTGTGAATCCATTAGAATCGTTTGAAGACAGAATCACGATTCATATATGAATAGATTTTTACGTGCACCTCTAGTTTTCTCTTCCTCTTCTCTAAAGTAGCGCAGCATGGCCTCGCCCCCTTTGCTGCCTTTTCCAGAGGGCGGGGTTTATCTGGTTTTGTTACATCACGAACCCGGGAAGTAACTTGTTGTAGTCCCTACCAGCCGTTTTTGTAGGCATTAAACTGCCAGAATTTTAAAAGACGATATCTCCGTTTGCATTGAACTTTCAGCTTCGTAGCTTTGCAGATATTGTTTATGCTCAAACAGCAACATTACACACTAATGTTAAAAAAGTGAAATCGCAATCAACCACCCCTTTAAAGTTTTTGTTTTAAGCACTTTGTTGCTTTTCCATATCATTGGCATACAAAACAAAACTCTTGAAATATAATGATTATGTCCGAAAATGTGAGGGGACACGTCCCCAAATTACAATAATGCTACTCCCCAGAGTAAAAAGTGTTTTAAGCACAAGTGTTTGTAGATGTTACTGTGAGTTACACAAGATAAATTTTTTCTAAGTGTGTTACATCATCTAGATGTTTAAATGCATCATAGGCCCTGTGTGATCACACACACCAGCTCACTAACCAATCAAAAGATGTGGGCAAATGGAAGTTGGCGCCCAGTCCTGCAACAGTGGATGCAACAATAGCATCGGCTGTTCTCCTATGCACAGAGACGTCGGTGAGTTGTTTTCAGGCAAGTGCGGGAGGCCCCTGGCAAACAGAACCCCCCCGCAAAGCCTGGCCACTGCCGACAGGGCCCTCCGATGAGCAATAAAAAAGGGGCCGTTGTTGCCGCTGCGGTGGAGGGAAGATGAGACCGACGCTTCTGTTTTTCTCTCCCTGCATCTACCTCCTAATGCCCACAGAATGAAAAAGAAGAAAGAAAGAGAGGAAAGGAAGCAAAGTGTGGCATTCTGGGGCGTTACACCCCCCACCCCTTCTACCCCAGAGGAGCTATGTTGAGGAGAAGAGAGGGGGCCTGGGCCATGTGATAGGGAGAGCATGCGGGCACGGTTCGGCCCCCAGGCAGAGGGAACGAGGTCTGCTGCATGATTAATCTGGCTGAGGGCAGGAGGACCGCCACAGGCCTGCCGCATTAACTCTCTGCTCTCCCGCTACACACACACACGCACAAACAAAAAACACACACCCACAGAAAATCTGGGTTGATGGCCAGTACGTGAGCCAGTGTGTCCACCTGCAGCAGAGGCAGGGTTAGTTTGTTTGCAAAGTGGAGCGAGCCTTTGTTTTTGCCACAGGCTCAGTCTCGCCTCTGTCACATGAGAGGCTGCACGCGGGAAGTCACAGGGATGTTTGTCTATTGGCATGCTGCTTGGACATGGTCACTGGATGTTAAACTTGTGCCTCGGAGCAGATAAGAACATCCCAAAAAGCCTATTAAGGCTGTCATAGTATTCAGTAATTTGATTTTTGGTGGTAATTTTTTATTTGTTCTCAATTTTTCTCTCAATGGCTTGTATCTTATACTACTTTTCATGCAACTATGTTCTGTGTTGAACAAGTTTCATCACATATAAACTAA